ACTCAAAAGAGGGAACAAATCCTCACAGCAAGAAACATTCACACACACACCCACACACAGAGTGGACAGAGAAGGGCAGCTTGGTCATTGGATACTCAAATGGGGAAGGGGGGACTACAAAGTTAAGAAGTGACTGGCTTACAAGCTTTCAAGAGGGAACCTAGTGCTAGGGAGCATGGTGGAAGGCAGAATCTCCAGTGGGTACCATTCAATCTGTCTGGGCGGAGCTGATGAAAGGAGATACAGATGGGTAACTCGTGATACTGTAGTGAATAATGCTTATCAGGATGGACTATGAGTGTTGGAAATGCAAAGGTAGAAGTTTTATAACAAGGGAGGGAGTGATTAATTCTCCAGGATAGGAACGGAGGCCTCTGGGACCATCAACGGAGAAGAGCTGAGAGCGGGACCCTACCCAGAGAAACAGAGATGCCTGAGATAGAGACAGAGATGATGACTTGGAGTGATGGAGCGACTGGGGACTTTGGACCCAGAGAGGGAAAGGGACTGTAGGCCGAAAACTGGGGGGAGGAGGGGGAAGTGTAGGGGGCAGGTTTTTAGGATATACCCTTTGGGTGGTTGAGGATGCATGGAGGGGATTGGAACCTTGGCAATGAGATGATATACGATGGAATGAATGTAAAACTAAAGTTCTCCCATGTAAACTATCATATAATTCACAATAAAACATAAAAAAAAAAAAAGACATGATGGTTCCAATTTCTCCACATCCTCAGTTTTCAGTTACAGATATCCTAGGGAAATAGTATCTCATTGTGGTTTTAATTTTTATCTCCCAGCTCGCTCTGGTAGCGTAGTGGTTACGATTGGGCTGCAAGCCGCAAGGTCCACAGTTCTAAACTACCAGCTGTTCTGCGGGAGAAAGATGAGGCCTTCTGCTCCCGGAAAGATTTACAGCCTCAGAAACCCTGTACAGGGTCGCTATGAGTCGGAACTGACTCCACGGCACATAACAATGGCTAATGTGGCGCTGTGGGCTAATGCGCTGGACTGCAAAGTTGGTTTGAACCTCAACTGGTTCTAGCTCACCAGTTGCTCTTTGGAAACCCTATACAGGGTCGCTATGGGTCGGAACCAACTTGACGGCACTTAACAACAATGGTTAATAGAGTCCTGGTGTGGCGCTGTGGGTTAATGCACCAGACTGCAAAGTTGGTCTGAATTGCAAGACCAGTGATTCAAGCTCACCAGTCACTCCTCGCAAACCCTATACAGGGTCGCTATGGGTCGGAACCAACTTGAAAGCACTTAGCAATAATAGCTAATGGTGACCACTTGTCTGGCAGTTTGTCATACTGTGGTGGCTTGTGTGTTGCTGTGATACTGGGTCACCCACGTGGACAAGTTTCAGTGGGAACTTCCAGAGTAAGACAGACTAAGAAGAAAGTGAGGCAGATCATTTCTGATCGGTTAGTCGCTGAAAACTAGAGAATCTGTTGTTTGCTTTCTACAAATAATGGGTTTTGCCAACCTGCGCACAGGTCTGTCTGGCTCAATCGTACATGAACATGACACCATTAGGACGGTTGATGCCAGTGGGCGTAGGAACGTTCTTTGCAGTCGTATGGGTACCTGGAAGTTGGAGGCACAGTCTATGAATGGAGTTGTTTAGAGAGCAGGCTGTCCTCAGTGTAACATCGTGCATCTCACTTCCTCCCAGTGTTTCTAGTTTCCATGCCTTCTTCCCTGGCCCTTTTGCTGTTGAATGGTATGTGTACCTCACGAGTGTTGCTGTCCCCATATGTACCTATGTGTATTGTTGCTTGGCTGGAAATTGAGCCACAGGGATGGAAACTCAACTGTCCATCAACTGATGAATGAACAAAATGTGGCATATACTTAAAATGGACTATTATACAGTCAGAAGAAACCAAGTACTAATAAATGAACCCTAACATTATGTTTAGTGAAGTCAGGCTCAAAAGACCACATATTGTATAATTCCATAAATCCAGATTAAGCAAATTTAGAGGCCGAAAGCAGGCTGGTGGTTACCTAAGGCTGGGGGAGGGGTGAGACGCAGCAGAGATAGCTGCTGTGCTGTGTTGTGAGCACTCAAGCAGCCCTGTGGAGAGGAGGTCCAGGCAGAACCGACATCTCCCACCACCAGCCGGGTCTAATTTGCTAGCAATGTCAATCAGCCACATGGTTGAGTCCTTGGAAGTGGATTCCCCCAGGTCCAGCCACTATCTGTCTGCAACTTCCAGAGATGTCAAACCAACAAACCAAAACTACCCAATCGGGGCTTCTCCCAACAAATTCCTGACCAACAGAGACTGTTAAGAGTGGTGGACCACGGTTATCAAATTTAGGGCTGAGTTGTTATACACGGCAGGTGAAGTGTATTGTAATGTAACCTCAGTTATTTCAGTCCCCCGTCCAAGGGGTAGTGGCTGCTTCCTGCTGAATAAAGGATCTCCCCTTATCCTGGTTGGGGAGCTACTACCTCTGCTCGTTACCTACCAGTTACCACACTGAGCTAGGGTCAGGATGCTTTCTGGCTTCTGATATGCCCCCTACCCCACTCATGTCTTCTTAAGTTCTACTTGGCACCAAGTTCCCCTCTTTTCTGTTTCCTTGGATT